GATCTTCACGGGTATATATGGTCCTACGCAGTCCTTAATCAAGGCATTTTTAGACTCCGGTGCTAAAGCCATTATATGCCCTTCCACCGAGCCTGACGAAACACAATCGTCAACCTTCCATGGTTCTGGGGAATTCAACGCCATAGAGAACGGAAGGTTTGAGATCGGAGAGGATGAAATGGAATATGACGATACTGAACCTTCAAGCCCAGCTAGCGACTGGGAAGACAGTGATGGGGCACGTGTAAATAATAATAATAATGGTATATGGGACGATGAGGAGGGAGAGTTGTGCTTTTTTGTGTGTGAGTTGTATGATTCTTTGTTCCAGGGCGGTTCAAAAATAGATGATGCACTGAAGCAATCTCTCTCCTCACACCGGACCCTAAGGTATTCCTGCCATCTTCCCCCCAGTGTGTGAACATCAGGGGTTGGTAGACCTTCATGGCTTCATACTTCTCTACAACGAACATTCCCACCCCATGCCTGATTTATTCAAGTACAAAGGAATGAGACGTTTGATTAAATTAAAAAGAGAATGTAGCAAATGATCATACAGATTTTAGAGTGTGATATAGATGTATACGGAAATAGAAAAAGGATTCAGATTTTAAAGAGACCAATAATTGCTCATTTCGACTTTCGAGTAATGAACAATAATCAGTAAAGTGAATTTGGGGATTTTTGCAGTGTTTTTTCCTTTTTGTTAATTTTGGGCATGTTTGATGATGAACTGATGTAGTAGTGCATCAACTGCTATCGCTAGTAACCCAAAGTTCCAAACATTGCCTGGGATTTCGAAGACCATGTTCTAATTTCTAACGGACTTGTGCAGCATGTATCATAAATTCATAATGATAATTCATGGGATTTCATGGTTGACCTCTGGTCAACTAGAGAAAAACAAAAATTTTGTGCTAAAATCTGGACATCTTCATTAGAGAATGGTATGCATGGAATATCATTCAAATATGGTAGAAAAGTTTTGAATCCCAACTATAAGTAGTCTTTCAATATTAGGCGGTGTATCGTATATAGAATATAGAATTTAGTGGTGGACTCGGGCCGGGCGGCCCGGAACCGGCCCGGTTACTGTTTGGCCCGGCCCGGCCCGGGGCCCGGTGGGTCCACCGGTTCGATTCGGCCCGGCCCGGCTGCTGGGCGGTTCGGGCTCGGGCCCTGTTTTTGGTGAACCGGCCCGGCCGGTTCGGGCCGGTTTTTAATTTTTTTTTTTTTTTGAATTTTTTTTAAGTTTTGGGTTGGATTAGGTATTTTGGGCCATTTGAGGTGGTTTGGGGTGGTTTGGGGTTGAGGGGGAGGGGTTGAGGGTTAAATAGAAGAGCCAAAAAAAAAAATTATAACCGGTTAGGCCCGGCCCGGCCCGGCCCGGTTTGGCCCGGAACCGGAACCGCCCACCGGCGGTTCGGGCTTGGGCCCAACTTTCCTGGCCCGAGGCCCGGCCTGAGTCCACCACTGATAGAATTAGTGGTAAAATTTTAGAAGTCTATAATCAAAAGTCAATGGACTTTTTATAAAAATCCACCAAAAAAAATATCCACCTCAATCTAGGTATAATACAGTAATACAACCCTCTTCATCTCAAATATACATAATTGTATAACAATCTAAATTTTATAGCTTGTTTATCACATGGACCTACTGAATGGGTTCATGTAGGTAACCAAATTGTTTTGAAAACACATTTTCCGTTTACCTATTTTAAACAAATTGTTATGACTTGATCAAACTTAAACAGTTCAAGTCACATAAGACTTGAACAATAATAACATACACTTCCACCATACATTTATTAACTAGACTAATCGTGAAATAATTTATTTTAAATTTTACATATGCAATATTGTTATCATAAAAAAATATTTAATTTGATATTTTTTGTAAACTCCGAAGCACAAATGAAAATTTTATACTAAGCTGTTTCACACATGACACCAAACTATTGGATGGTGAGTCAATTTAAGCTGATTAAAATTAGGGAGTGTTCAAAAACTTAAAAAAGTGTTTTTTCATCTTTTGGGTTGAAAAAATGACTTCTTTTTAAGTAACGACTTCTTTTTAAATTAAGAGGCCGTTTGGAACCACCGTTTTTCGTCTTATAGGGCTTATCAACCAACTTTTTCACCAAACACATAATTTTTTATTTCGCGCGTTGAATTGTGTGATAAGCAAAAAAGTAAGGTTGGAGTTACTTTTCTGGCTGTTTTGGCTGAAGTTACTGTAGATGATTATTTTAGCTATCTTTACATATAATTTTTTCTTCATTTTATTAATAATATATTTTAAAAATATTATTTTATTAAATGAGCAGAATCAGCAAATGCAGCCACTTCAGCCAGAACTTCGTAAATTTCAGTAGAATCAGCCAAATCAGCCGATTTTTGTGCTACAAAACGGGCTCTAAGCATTTAGGGTCTGTTTGCAACTGCTTTTAAAAAAGCACTTCTGAGCTTTTGACTTTAAAAAACCACTTATTTTCTCAAACACTACAACTTTTATTTTTCTTGGCTTCCGCGTCAAAAGTGCTTTTACTTTTTTCATTACACAAAAAGCACTTATTTTACCAAACATTACCCACTTTTAATTTTCAAAATCACTTTTTTCTCAACCACTATCAACTTTTATTTAATCACTTCTCCCCATTTCATTAAAAAAAGCATTTTTTAAAAAGCAGAAGTTGTTGCAAACAGACCCTTAAAAGCTAAAAGCAGGAATCAAGTAAAGATGTGTTTTAAACTGCTTTTCATTTTTTCTATTACACAAAAATACTTTATTGTCAAACATTACCAACTTTTACTTATTCAAAAACATTTTATCTCAAACACTACCAACTTTTAATATCGAGCACTTTATCTGAGATCACTTTATTTTTTTTAATGTAGAAACACTTGTAAACACTCCCTTAATAGGAGTGTATCGGCATGGCAAGCCCGTATAAGCAGCAATTTCAATTTTAATTAAGAAATTTTATCAATCCAAGTTCTGAAAGATAGATGCATTATCAATAAGAAATCTGAAAGATACAATGTGTCAATATAGGATTTGAAAACGATCAATCCAAGACCTAAAATATCATACATTTTGACTAATTTATTTTTATTTAATTCTATTCCTAATCTTTGGTGTTTTTCTTCACAAAAGTTTATTGATTTTAATCACATTAAATAATATTTAATTTTAAAAAAATCATGATATTTTTAGATCTCTTACTGATAATTCTTAATCATTGGGATTCTATATTGACATACTTTATCTTTTAGCTTCCTTATTAATAGTGAATCTACGATAGTATCTTTCAGGTCTTGAATTAATAAAATTCCTTAAATTTCAGAATTGGAAAGGTTAGATTAATCTTTGTTGAGGTTAAGTCTCGTAGATACGAAAGCCCAACACACGCTTTGGATATTAAGGGCGTGGTCTTGGTTTAAAAGGTGTATAAAATATAAAAAAGTGAATAAACTGAACTCAGAGGCTAATCTTGCATTAGGTAATTCTGTGATTACAAGGAAACTCAGAGGTAATTCTATCGGAATAGTGTTTAACACAAGAACAAGAGAGATAATTCTATTGCTAAGTTTCTGAGTATCAAATGCTAACTCTTTACAATGTATTCAATGCAGGTATTTATACCAGAGAGGGGGTAGGTGACATGATGACGTGGCTGAACCCGGTTGACTGCTGCCTCTGTCGTCTTTGCACTCATGCCTCCACTTGCTACCGCCATACTTTAGCATTGAATGCGGCTGCCACTTGGGTGTGGCCCGGCCGGGTACCCCGAACGGGGTTCGGGCCCCATAAACGGATGTCTAAATGCTGGCACTTTGCTAATTGCCCAAGTTAGATTCCTGAACGTCAATCGGGTACTGTCTTGAATGAGTTATCTTGAATTCTTTAGACGCGTTGGGCTTGCTCTTCCCCTTGGGCTTCTCTCTGATTAGGCCGGGTATATTGGGCTTCGGCCCAATATCCCAACAATCTTTATATTTTAGACTAGTAAGTAGATCTACTAGAAAAATCAGACCATATTAGACTACTGGTTTGATAAATATCTTTATATTTTATAGTTATCCAGTTCTGGTATAATTTAACAATATCATCTGTATCATAATATTTGCAACATTAAAAATTACACATTATTCTTGTACTCTACTTTAACTACGCTTAATTTATTAATGTATGTGAATTATTATTTTTGAAATATATTATTGAATTCGTATCATTTCAAAGTTTTTTAATTTGATTTTTAACTTTTTTTACTAATAAAAAATTAAATATAATGACGGTTAAAGTTATTCCTTGACAAGTGTAAAAAAGGGAACTTCTAAGTAAAAAAGAACGTCCGGGTAGTGTGGCAAAACGGTCCTAAAAAGTGAAAACGTCCGGGTGAAGAGTAACCTCTTTGTGGTTTGTTTGTTGTTGTCGGCCTCCTCGGACCGACCGACCCATTTTGGCCTCCTCCGCTCGCATAACTTCTCGCGCCTCCAATGCCGCCGGATCGATGGCTTTTTTAAGATCAATCAAAGCGCTAATTTCCCGAACCAGAAAGCTCAATGGTAGTGATCCTCCTAGAACCTTCTTCACCACAGCCTTCTCTTCCTCATACGCATCCGCGCCGCCTCTCTACGCCGACCCCTCTGCCTACCGCCGCCACCGCCATTTCCTCGCCCGCCGTAACCTCTTTTCTCCTACCTTCTCTGGTGCCACCACTGTCGTCGCGAACTCTTTCCCGCTCTTTCTCTCCTTTCCTCCTTGGAAGCTCCTGCAATCCTCAACGCCACTCCACCTCCATCCCAAGCTCGCCCTCCTTCGGGTCAAAGCTCTCAATTTGAAATTCCCATACAAGCTAGGGCTGCAGTCAGCTTCCTACGCACCGAAACTGCTCCTTAATGGTCCCAGGGAAAAGCAGTTCGTAGAATCTCAGGCCTTTGCTGGAATTAGAGACAGCTTTGTCAATTTCCCAAATTGCATTTCGCTCGGTCGATTGCTTTCCGGCCCATTACTCGCGTGGTATTTAGTTTTACTCTATCTTTGGAGCGCAAATGCAATGGTATATGATATGATTTTTTGTCCCACTTATTATTATTACTCCATATATTTGTGATGGTATATGATATGATATTTTGTGAGTGTCTGTCGGATTATTATTTTGTGAGTGTCCCCATATTTGTTCGTGTGAGTTCTTATCAGGAATTGCAATGGCAAGATAGTAATGTTATCTTCATAGCAAACCAAATGAAATTACTATATTTCAAAATTCAATAGACTAAGAAAAAGTATGAGCCCAACCTGTCTGTTAAAGTCCAATTGTTCCTTTATGACAGTCATAATGGTCTGAAGAATCCCAAGGTGTAGGAGAGCCACTCATTTAATGTATTGATGTGCATATTGAGGTTTCCCCTAAGACGTACTACCCCCGTTGTAGTTTAATGATTGTGCAAGCAGATTAAGGAAAATGTTAAGCATACTACAGCCTCTTGAAATAGTAGTGTAATACCTAAATTATTTCTAATCAGTCACCCATTTTGGAATACGAGAACTACTCTCATTTAGGGTTAATGCTAGAGAAGGGAAAAAGAGGAATTTGGAATTTTTTATCCATTGTTCTCTTAATTTTACAAAATGACACATATTGAAAAACCAATCTCTTAACTGTATGGACACTTAATATGAAACAGATGGAGTGGTAAAGTAGGATATTTTTGAAACTCTCATTAAGGATGAGAGTAACCAATTGAATGTTTTTGTGAATTGTGATATGCTAAAATTTAGTTCTCACTAGTCAAAATTTATCTGCAGGATGATCACACAAGACATGTATCTTCCTGCATCTGTTGGGCTAGCGTTTGCTGGTGCGAGTGATTGGGTATGAAATTTGTTTTTCTTTTCTTTGCTGAAGTAGATGACACTAGGACTGCACATCAGGCGAGTTGGGTCGGGTTTGCTATATTTTTTGGGCCTACCCGATTGGTTCGGGTTGGCTATTAACCAACCCGCGGTATGCAAAATAAGTTGGTAAACCATGCATGAACGGGTCGGGTAGGGTTGTGTATTGGGGAAAAAATCACTTCGGGTTGCATCTTTCACGTGGGAAATTAATGTAACCAATTTAAAACTCGATTAACTTGTTTCCAAAACACACAAACAAATACAAGTACTCAACTACTCATATCTTTTATAAGCAAAAATATTAGGTAATAGTATTAAAACATCCTTCTATAAAGGAAGTTCATTTAGAAGGAAACGTAAATATATAATAATCACCTAGTCAAAATGATAAATGTTTAATTATAATTCTAATATCATAAAGTCCTAGATAGAGCACATTGGTCTTAAATTGAAATTACCCAAGAAAACGGTGTAGCATAATAATAGTAAAATGAATTTCGGCCGGGTCGGGTACTATCGGGTTTGAGATTTTAATTCCGCAACCCTACCCATTAGGTGCGGGTTCAAACATACTTAACCCATGAATATTTTTAAAAAACAAATTCCCGATTAAATAGGGTCGGGTAGGGTTGGGTCCGGCGGGTTATGCGGGTTCGGGTTATTCTTGTGCAGCCCTAGATGACACTAAGTCCCTTTTTAAGGGTTTATTTCCCATTGCAGTTAGATGGGTATGTAGCCAGGAAAATGGGGATTGATTCCGTGGTTGGTTCCTACCTCGATCCTCTTGCTGACAAGGTAACTAATACTCCTTTTTTTGTTCTTTCGCTGGTTTTCCAATTCTTCTTTTTTTTTTCTTCTTATGTTTCGATACAGTGGAGAAAGAAGTTTCAACACTTACTTTACTTGGGATGGTAATTGTTGCCTGCTGGTATGGATCATTTTATTCACTAGCCCATGAATTTTTTGCGTGTTTCAGGTGCTAATTGGATGTGTTGCTCTGGCAATGGTTGAGAGGGGTCTTTTACAACGTGAGTGGATGTATTGTTTTGTTGATTTCTTCTTCTTTTACAAAATACTTTGGAATGATATGGAGTTGGTCTTAGTGAAGGTTTGGATTTGAAAAAACAAACTTCTTTAGCAATTAAGAGCTCATTTGGTGAAGGTGCATCTGGCCGAAGTTGATGAAATTGGGATTTGGGGCTATGTTGATGAAGTTTCTGAATTTTTCAAGCTACTATAAAATATACTATCTATAATATTTAAAGTACATTTTTGTGATGAATTAAAGTAAAATTAAAAGAAAAACCTAAAATAATCATCCTTGGACAATTCAGCTAAAAATTATCTACAGTTGTTCCTTTTCATTATAAACCAACTAGTCAAGTAAATTTGTGTTTGGTAAAAAATCTCTTGCTGATTAGAGCTGAAATTAGTGGCTTCGAGACGGCCAGTAAGAGCATCTCCAATGGAGGGCTTTTAACAATAATAAATTTGTCCATGTCATCGAGTGGGAAAAGTGAATTATTTTTTCTCCTCCAATGCACTCTTTCTCTACTACCGTTAAGCTGATGTGTAAATATTAAATGAAAAAAGTGTCGATCTTACTTTGTAGTTTCTCACAGCCAGTTAAACAGTATGCCATAGGAGATAAGGGGTATGGTGCCGCATCTTTAGCGGATTTTAATTGAAAACTTGGCGCAAGATTGTTGCACATAGCATCCGAGTACGAATAGGAAACTCAGTGCACAACTAATTATTTTAATTTAGTTTTAATTTAATTGATGTAAAAGCAAATAAACGCCACCTAGTCTTCACACTTGATTTATTGACAGTGCATTGGACATATTTTTTATATTTTTTGATTTGTTAGGCATAACAGTATTATTAGGTGGATAACTTTTCCATTCATCTTTTGACACGTTTCATAGTTTTTGCAATGTTGAAAGTTTAGGATTAGAGATGCTCTAAGAGTTGTTTGATACTGCAAAGTTGCAAGACTTTATAAATTAAACTTTGAAGTAGATCTTTTTGTTTTTCCACTGTGAAGCTGAACTTGTTGCCCTTGTGGTTCTACGTGATGTTGCCCTCGTTGGTGGTGCTCTTTACAAAAGAGCTAACAGTTTGGAATGGAAGGTTAGCCAAACCAGTTATGCTCTTCAGTCCTGTAATTATTCAAATTTCTGATAAATTTTCATTACCAGTGGACAAGTTGGATAGACTACTTCAACCTGGATGGAATGCGTCCGCAGAAAGTAGAGCCACTTATGATTAGCAAGGTATCCACTTTTTTTTCCCACAGATCATTTAGTTTTATTTCTCAGATCATTTAGTTTTCCCACAGATCACTTGTCAGATCATCGTTTAAATGCGCTTATCTCAGTTAAGATGTTTTTACTTGGACTTATTTCAGTCCCAGACTTAAACAAACCAGACCAGACTTAACCGACCAGACCAAACCTCGCCAGTTGTAAAATACACATAGACCAGACATCTACCAAGACCAACATCAACAACAACAACATCCAAGCCTTAGTCCCAAAAGATATTGGGGTCGGCTAACATGAATCGATACATGATAACACCACCAAAAGGAAAAGAAAGAAAACAAAGATAAAAAAATAAGCTTAGAACCACCTAGTGAGCCCCAAGTGAACTTGACAAGAGCTTTGCAACTTAAGTGTTGGTGGAGGGGAAATAGAGAGAAAAACTGAAGGTAACAAAATGTGGGGGATAAAAGATATGCTTAATTTTTATTTATTTATTTATTTATTTATTGAAGGAGAGTCTTGGTGCACCGGTTACAGTGTTGCTATGTGAGTATGTGACCAAGAGGTCATGGACTCACGGCAGGGGCGGAGCTAGGGGGTGCCTAGGCTAGGCCCTGGCCCACCCCAAATTTGAAAAATGTCAATATTTTTAGTGTAAAAAATTTCGTGTAATTTTTTTTCCAATAATATTCTTTGTACCGGCCCAGTCTAGCCCAGTGTCCTGGCTACGCCCCTGACTCACGGGTTCAGGTCGTGAGAACGGCCTCTTGTCAAAACAACAAGGGAAGCCAACTTGCAGAGACGTCAATGTGCACTGGGTTGCACATTATTTTTCCTATAGAGCTTTATTATAAAAATAAAAGGAAATCTAAATCTATAAATAAATTTTGTAAAGAATTAATCATATCCCATTTTCCTTTGCAGTATCCAAGGTTAAAGTGTTAAACTGAACATTACAAATTAACATTCATTGGCATTTTTTAGGCTGTTTGGTGAACAGTGGAAATGGACTAAGAAGCTGTTCCGTTCGTCTTAATCTTATTACTTATTCCTTAATCTTATTTTATTCAGATCAGATCAGATCAGATCAGAAAGATTCAGATCAGATCAGATCAGAAAGATTCAGATCAGATCAGATCAGAAACATTCAGATCAGATCAGAAAGATTCAGATCAGATCAGCAACATTCAGATCAGATCAGAAAGATTCAGACCAGATCAGACCAGATCAGAAACATTCAGATCAGATCAGAAACATTCAGATAGGGATGGACTCGGGCCGGGCCAACCGGCCCGCTACTGTGCGGGCCCGGACCGGCCCGGTGAACCGGTTCGGTTCCGGTTCGGGCCTCCCGGCCCGGTGGTATACCGGTCCGGGCCCGGGCCTCCAGTTTAGTGAACCGGCCCGGCCGGGCCGGGCCCGGTTCGGGCCGGAATTTAATTTAATTTTTTTTTTTTTGAAATTTTTTTAAGTTTTGGGTTGGATTAGGTATTTTGGGCCATTTGAGGTGGTTTGGGGTGGTTTGGGGTGGAGGGGGAGGGATAGGGGGTTAAATAAGAGAAGAAGAAAAAAAAAACATTCCGGGTGGCCCGGCCCGGCCCGGTTCTGGCCCGGAACCGGAACCGCCCACCACCGGTTCGGGCTCGGGCCTCCTTTTTCTGAACCGAGGCCCGGCCGGGCCCAGGCCCGAACCGGGCCCGAACCGGAACCGGTCCACCCCTACATTCAGATCAGATCAGGTCAAAAAATTCAAACATGATTTATCACTTTTATTATTATATTAATTATGATTATTATATTATAGTTATTGTTAATAATATTAATATATTAATATAATAATATTATTAATAATAATATAATAATAATGTTAATAATATAAAATTATTATTATATTATAATAATATAATATAATATAATATAATATAATATAATATAATATAATATAATATAATATAATATAATATAATATAATATAATATAATATAATATAATATAATATAATATAATATAATATAATATAATATAATATAATATAATATAATATAATATAATATAATATAATATAATATAATATAATATAATATAATATAATATAATATAATATAATATAATATAATATAATATAATATAATATAATATAATATAATATATTTATAATTATAATTATAATTATGATTTACAATGTAATTATAATTATAATCATCATTATTATTAATATGATTTTTGTTCTTGTTGTTATTGTTGTAATTATTATTACTTCGGAGTAATTATATATTTAAATTAGTAATTATAGACATAATTATGACTATAGAAATAAATATTATAATTATAATTACAATAATAATAATTATAAAATTAATCATAATTAAAAATATAATTACATTTATAATTGTATCTGTATTTATAATTAGTGTAATTGGTATAATTATTATAATTTTAAATTTAATTTTAATTATTATTTTTTTATAATTATGATTATAATTGTAATTTTATTTAAGTTATATTTTTAATTACAATTATAAATCTAATAATTATAATTGTAATTACAATTACAATTACAATTATAGAAATATTCAAATCAGATCAGAAAGATTCAGATCAGAAGAATTCAGATCAGATCAGAAACATTCAGATCAGATCAGAAACATTCAGATCAGATCAGATCAGATCAGATCAGCAACATTCAGATCAGTTCAGCAACATTCAGATCAGAAAGATTCAGATCAGATCAGAAAGATTCAGATCAGATCAGATCAGATCAGAAAGATTCAGATCAGATCAGATCAGATCAGAAAAATTCAGATCAGATCAGATCAGAACTTAAAAAATTCAGATCAGAAACATTCAGATCAGGTGAACGGAACAGCTTCTAAATGGATGAATGTTCTGAATTTGGGCTGAAATGGCGGAATCTGCTGAATTATAAAAAATAGATTTAAAATACCGAGTAGATTTTTATTAGAATAAAGAAAATAAATTATATGAAAGGGGGTTACATTATCACGTTAAGTTAGAAAAGTAAATTTAGTCTTACTTTTTTTGATTTTACACAATTCTGTATGTGAAATAAATTTTTTGGTATTTAGTAAAAATTGGCTGAAAAGACTGGTAAACTGAAAAAGGGAGTAACTGAATAGTTCTTTATCTAGATCCAAACATACCCAGGTCGGTGATCATGCTAATATGGTTTGGTGTTGACAGGTAAATACTTTCTTCCAATTGGTATTAGTTGCAGCAGCCCTACTCCAACCTGAACTGGGCAATGCGGAGACCCAAACATATATCAGCTATATCAGGTAAACTTATAACATCAGATGTAAATTCATCTAGACAGATTGTGTAGAGTTTTTTTGCATTTTTTACCAACCTTGTTGATTGATTTGCAGTTGGGTAGTTATGCTAACCACAGTAACTTCAACTGCTGCCTATGGATCACAACACCTCAGGACTGGCAGAGTGTGAAGGCAATGTTCTTTTAGTAACAGAGATGCCTCACTAGTGTAGATTTGCAACTAACAATTTTACAATGCAAGAAATGTTGTAGGAGTTCACAAGTGTAGAATTGCAATTAACAATTTTACATGCAAGAAATGTTGTATGAGTGCTTGAGTTTAACGAAAGTAGGCTAAAGTCTCTTGTAGACCAAAGTAACAATAAGAATAATATTATTCAAATGTTTCCTTTATTTTTTGAAAAATAACATCAAAGTGAAGAAGAATAACAATCTCTTGTGCTTCTTGAATGTCTTCGGAACTTTAGTTTTCTAGAAATTGTAAGAACGAAATCTTTAAATATATACCATTTCAGAAGAACACAAATTCATGTGTTTCTTCATTGTAAGTTGTGTGCGGCTTTTTGGTTTCTTTTTTATTTTTTATGCGTCAAACCATGTTCAACAGAATTAATCTCTTCTCAAATCTCAAATGGCGGTGCACACATTCTATGGATACCGGCGATTACCGGGTCATTGTTTTTCTCGAGTCTATGATGGCTCTGCTGCCTCCATCCGGCTAGATTTAGATGACATCTTCGCCACTGGATCTAATATTCTAATCTCAAGCCGTTGTAAAAATATTAAACGAGAATGACAAGGATGACATGATCTAACCTTGTCTATATTAAGATATCTTTTGACAAAAGAGAATTATTAACACAAATTAATCACTAAAAAGATTGATATAATATGGTTTAACACATTGTTAATGGAAAAAGTGGTAGAGTAATGAATACTGTAGAAAAAGTATAAGAGAGAATATAAAAGTATGAAAAGTAAGATAAAAAGTAGCAAAAACAAGAATAATTGAATATTTTTAAAGGAAAAAATTATTAAAAGGGGAAGGGAAATTAACCTAAATGGGACTAAAAATGTTTTGTAATTCCAAAATAAGATTGTAATGTTTTAATTCCCTAACTTTTCTAAATTTGATAAACATGCAATATTTTCCAAATTTATTACTCTCATCGTTTCTTAAAACTTTGCCAATTTTCTTTTTTTGATTGTGTCACTAACTTTATTTTTTCCCTTTTAGTAAAGAAATTATGGTTCCAATTAATCCCCTCTCATTATAAAAGTAGAGTTTACGTTTTAAATAATACTCGGTAACCAATTTCTTCTTCACACAACGGCGGCATGGAGGGCAGTGTCGATCTCTAATAAATCAATTGATTGCGGCGAAGAGGGGATATCAATCCTTGCTTCTAGCGTTAATCTTATTCTGAGTTTATGGATTCACGTTCTGTCTCTAGGGTTTCATCGCTAGAGTTTTATTTGTCTGCTATCGTCTTTTGGCGAGGAGCGGTGCCATCTTTCGGCAATTCGTTTGTGGATAGGGAGATTCGGCTGGAGGCGACTCAAGGGCAAATCAAAGCGATGAAGAAAGAAGATGAATGGAAGGTGATCCGACCCCCTCCTGAACCGCCGCCGGTGATTCTTGGAAGGTTGAGTGAAGAAATTTATTTTTTGCTTTTATTTATTTTAATGGTCTGAATTTGTCTGTGTTTGTTTGTTATTTTATCTCTTTCGATTGTAAGACTGTTGTTTTGAATTGTATGTGGGTGATGATTTAACTGTGATTACCGTCACTCACTTAGTTGTGCCCATCAATGAATCAACGAGTTACTTTACCGAGGTGATTAACTCTGAATCTGATTCGCGGGACGACGGTTTTCTTAAGTTATATTGTCGTTTTACCTACTCTCCGAATATTTTGATTTTAATGTAAGCCGCTTTCATCCAAAAAGAAATTAATCTCCTCTCATTTGCACAAATTAGTACCACACAAGTTTTACTTTATTAATCTCTGTACCGATCAAATTTGGCAAAATTTAAGAGACAGAGAAAGTAGTAGGGTTTTTACGTAGTTTAAGACAAATATATGTAAAATAGGAAGTTTTTTGTACTATAGCGGTACTGTAGCAGTACTGTAACAATACTATAGTTACTTTTTGGGTGAGTTTATTTCAAAAAAGAGAGGTGTGTCAAAAAGGGAGGTGTGTCAAAGTAAATAGATACGCAGCAATTATATTTAACTTCTACAAATTTGGGGCTATTTACCGAGCACAAATGTACAAATGCACCTTTATCTCAGTCAATTATTACTGTATCCTTCATTTTGACATTGGCGGGGAAGACAAGTGAAGGTCTGAGATTCAGTCAAGGCCCAGGGAAGAAGGCTATGAGTAGTGTGCTGTCTTATCTCACCATCGGCGTCGAGTCGTCACCGCCGGTGAACTGGTGGGACAAGATAAACGAATCAGTTAAATGGCAAGACGGAATCTTTTATTCACTCTGTGGTGCCTACGCTCTCGTCTCTGCCGTTGCCCTTGTATGTATTACACCTTCAATCTCCTATGCACACTATGCTCTTCTTATCTGTACTATGCATCAATGGTTGCTTATGTTTTTGGGGGGAAATCCTAATATTTTGAGCTTGAGGATTTGTTTATTTTGGAGATATTATAACTAACTAAAATTTATAGGTTATTGTCTTTATTAAAACCAATTTGAATCGTGTTGGCTTCTTTAGCGTTTAGAGTTGAATTAAATAATGTTTATGCTATAATCGCTGCCATTAAAGATGATGAGTTATAGCGTTTACTTAGCTCCTTTTTGCTTTTTTTTTTCTTTTCCCCGTGTCGTTTTTTTAGCTTGATGATAGTATCCTATATATTTATTTTGTATCCAACTATCCATGTTGAAGCTCTAAAGAAACGTACAGTACTTTAGAATAGCTTACAGTCTCATCAGAAAACTTCATAAAGTATTTCATGTGGTGAAGTTTTTTTTAATGCGAACACTGTTTTGCTTGTTTGTTTGATGATGTAATGGCCCAACTTGTTATGGTGCCATCATTCATTTTTCCTTCATAGACACAGCTATGGATCCTACTTAGAACTGATCAGAAAATTGATAGTTATCCTTCATATCAATTTCATAAACACCACCTCTGTCCAACTGAGATTGGGACATGAGGAAGTGTTGTGATAATTAAAAAAGTGCGCGGGAAAAGTAGCAAATCAGCCCCCAAACTAGCTTAAAAAGTGTAAATCACCCCTTATATAGTAAGTTCTGTCCAGCCGTCGCCATTTGGGGCGGTTCCCGATGGAATTTTTTGATGAAATTTTTTGAGCATCTTCTTCATTAAGTCTAGTTTACCTATACCAAATTTCAGCTAAAAATTCAACCGATAAGGCAGTCAAATGATTTTCTGAAATATACTGTGCTGTTTAACCACACAGTTATCTTCAAAAATTCATCAAAAAAAATTTAGTTGAACTTTGGTATGGGTAAACTAAACTTAATGAAGAAGATGCTCAAAAAATTTCATAAAAAAATTCCACCTGGAACCGCCCCAAATGGCGACGGCCGGACAGAGCCTCCTATAAAAGGGGTGATTTGCACTTTTTAAGTTAGTTCGAGGGCTGATTTCCTACTTTTCCCAAAGTACGCTTATGTGGTTGGATAAAGTATGAACAAAGAATAAATTAGAACCATACAAATATTACCAAATGTGGTATGGGAATTGGGACAAACTTAGTGGAACTGACAAAAAAGTAAAAATGGGACAAAGATACTATATTTGTAGCTAATTATGCTTTCCCCACCCAGTATTTACTCTTGCATCTGGTTTTAATGACTTACAACTATTTGAGTTGACTGTGCAGATTCAATTGACTTGCTTCTAATTATGCTTTCCCCACCCATGGTTAACAATGTATCAGCAAGTGCATTGCTCTGCAATTAGTTTTTTCTGTAGCTTTAGAATCTCAAATGCGTACACCAACTATCAGTATGTTCCTTTACTAAGCACAAAAAACTTCGTTTCCTTCATGATTTTTCAAGCTACCGTACTAGCAATAGAATTTGGATTAAATCAAGCCTTATTTCAAATATAGTATCTACATAACTATGATTATATGGTAATATGGTAGCTTTTGTTCTTAAATGACAGATCCATGAGAAGAGAGACTATATTTAAATGTCCTATATATATATTGCTACATGAATTAATGCACTGCTTCACTTACATCCCATTCATCATGTAAAACCCTTTGATATTTGTTTCTTATTACGAAATACACTGAGTCACTGAGTATTTAATACTTGTTTCTTTTTACGAAATACACCGAGTATTTACTCTTGCATCTGGTTTTTATGACTTACAACTATTTGAGTTGACTGTGCAGATTCAATTGATAAGAATTGAACTGAGAGTGCCTGAATTTGGCTGGACAACACAAAAGGTCTTTCATATCATGAATTTCATTGTAAATGGAGGTAAAATAGGGCAATACCTTCATCTCTCATCCCTGACCTTTTCTTCTTCAACTTATTTATGTTTGATTCTTCATTGTTGCAGTTCGTGCTATTATCTTTGGGTTTCACAAACAAGCCTTTCTTTTCCACCCGAAGGTATATATTAGTACTTTCCCAAGAACAGTTCTCAATTTTTATTGTACTTATGTCACTCATTGTTAGTTGGTTTCTTCTAGTTAGGTGTTTAAACATTAAGAATGAACCCCATTCCCAAACTAATCTTATCTCTTCATATTTGTAAGATATGCAAAAATGGAAAGGTTTTATTCAAGTTTTTTTAACTGTAAGGCGTAAAGCAATAACATATTTTTTTCGAATAACAACCCCCTTGTGATAGGTTTATATTCCCAATTTTTACTCTAGTCTTGATGTATTCATGATCCTTGGGTCTGAAGACTTTGAGCTTGCTTGGAATTGCTGAAGTATTAGATTATTTTGATAATCAAATATATATATAATTGGTTATCGTTGTGATCAAACATAACCAGAAGTGATCTGAGAATGCAGAGGTATTAATTTTGTTTTGGTGAACAAAGGATCAGCTTATACATGGCAGAAGGGTGTGAAAGAAGCTCGGAAAAAATAAGCTGTTGAATAAAAACATCATTAACAAAATTTCAGATTAAATATGATAGGTTTGTTTTAAATAAGTAGAGTGTAGTTTATTGGTTTCAGTTGATGCTCCCAAACACAACGTTTTTTTGAAAGCAGCTTTTATGAAAAAACAGCTTATAATTTTGACTATAAGCTGTAGCAAACGCGCTGTTTGTGGTTTATTAAATAATTTGATGATCCTAATGAAAAACATAACGCATTGTAGCCATTTCTTTATTTTTTTCCTTTTTGACATATTTTGGGTTCATGCTATACTAACCAGGTGCTAACTTTGGCACTTTTGGACCTCCCTGGGTTGCTCTTCTTCTCAACATATACACTTCTTGTCTTATTCTGGGCAGAAATATATCACCAGGCTAGTAAAATTGCTCATCTTGGAACTTCTTGCAAAGCCGATACATCTTTTGCTGTTTTATTAACTTTTAACCCTTATTACATATTGTCAGGCCAGATGTTTGCCAACTGATAAACTCAGAGTCCTATATATATCAATTAATGTTGTAATATACATCATACAAGGTGGTATATGGTTGTACCTCTGGATCAATGAGAATCAGACTGTGGAGTTTTTTGGAAAGATATTTATAGCAGGTAACTTTTTATACTCCCTCATGCGCACAAAGTAGGTCTGTATTTTCTTTTGTCCACCCTTGAAAGATTGTCCTGTTTTTATCATGTGTGCATTGAAGTATTTAACTTGCCATTTCCAGAATTCTGAGATAGTAGTATTTGATCAACAAACCTTCTGAAATACTTCTTCTTCATCATAACCCCAGTGCCGCAAAGGCTCCCACCTACGCTGGGGTAAGGGGGGTCGGATGTACAGAGAGACTGTTTTCGGATGACCCAATGCGAAAATTGCATAGACTGACTACTGCTTTATAATATAACAAAAAAGCGCAAACGGTTTAGTGAGCCATTTTGCTTTATTCCATCATATTCTCAAGCCAAAAAATAGTGAGTCTTTGGCTCCATTGCAAATGATGGAAGGAGAATTTATGTATGTGAAAAAAGTCGATATGTATGGGGAAATTATATTTGCGGGTATGTATCCTTATGTTTCACTTGTTCAAACATTTCACATGTTTAACAGAATATGAATGTGAAAAAAAATCTATCAAATCTATGCACTTTCAAATTTTAAGATTTGATATAAAAATGAGTTAATTCCCTAAATAGGACTAAAACAATGAAGAAATGCACAAATAAGACTTCAAATCTACGTACTTTTAAATTTTAAGATTTGATATATGACAATTACTATAAAAAAAATTCATTATTTTAAATATAGTCATTTAGACATTATTCTTAAAAGCAGGCTGCACCAGAATCTTATCTGTACACTATACAATTTCTCAATTTCATACAAGCAGAATAAATTCTAAAGGATTTTTAAAAATCAATTTATCATAGAGCAAAAGATTCTGACTTCCTTTTTATATGACTCATAAAAAGGGGATGTAGAATCAACTCCAAACACCCTTAAAATAATGAAGTGTAAAGAATGAGCACACAAATACAGATGTACCTGAATATGGGCACCTGTTGTTGCTTGCATGTTTTTAATGGTTTCTCTGCCTTTTCCAATAACAAGGCCGACCTATACATATGCTAAGTGATAGTACAAAAGGAATTGAAGTATTTCAGCAAAAAATTTACCAATTTAATAGCATATACCTTGTTGTTAGGAATTTGCATCATGTATTGCTCAGCTCCACTATGCTGTCCAGTTAACCTTCGTGAAACAATGCCAGTCCCACCTGAATCAGCCTCAGAAAGAACGTCTTGAAAGAGAGGAGAATTAACCTTCTGAAATACTAAATAGTACAATTGAGAATTGCATACAGAATTGTTCCTTCCAACTGACTTAGCAGTTCCTCCCTCTGTCTGAAAGAGAGTCATTTTTCAAACGATTTTGTTTGTCCCGTAAAAGATTCCAGTCAATATAACAGATGAAAATTTCCAAAAGTAAAGGTTACAAACAAGTTCAGTTTGATAAATTTAGTCAGAAAAAATAAAAAGATAAGTTGGATTACATGAGTTTTAAGAGCCATATCTCGCCAAAATTAAAATTACACCTTGACCAAATAGGGATCTTTTATTTTTTGGGACAGAGGTAGTATTTCTTAAGTGATAGTCTTATGTCATCCAAATCAATTGCATAATGGTTGAAATTTTCATTTGTAAAGTCTGAGAAGTGGTGATGGTTACCTTTTTTTGAGCTTGGTTGGATGTTTATCATTTTTCTGTGTCCAGTTGTTTCACTCATAGCAGCTTTGGGATTCTTGTTCTATGGTGGAAGGTAAATGACCTCATCAGTTTCCAAATGCATTATTGTTATTCTTTGTATCTGTTAGTGTATTGGCTTCTTCATTTATCATTACATTGTTTGTTTTAGGCTATTTGTCATGCTGAGACGCTTTCCTATTGAGTCTAAAGGAAGAAGAAAGAAGCTTCATGAGGTCTGTTCTGTGTATATCTATGTTGTTCTACTGCTACTTGGCGGGTCTTGTTGATAATATTTTTGTATCTTGGGCTCATATTAAATATGAACTGAACTGCTGTCCATTGTGACCTTACTTATTTAACTTATTTTGCAGGTTGGATCGGTAACAGCCATATGTTTCACGTGTTTTGTCATAAGATGTTTTGTGGTAAGACTTCAATTAGACAATTATCTCTTGCCTTTGACATTTTTCTAGATATTTTTGGTTGGAACAAGATTCTTATTTACTCCCTCCATCCCATTTAAAGGTTCTCGTACACTATTCTCCGGTCAACGTGCATTGTTCTTAATCTTTTACTTTATATATCGAAAGTTTATGAAATTTAAATTATTTTTTGCAGGTTTTGTAGCGGTTTTAATGTAGTTTCTGAATATGTAAATTTTATTTACTAAAAATAATTCTATTAATGACAGGAATCATTTAACTTTATGGTCAGTCAAACATCGTAAATCGTGTGGGAACATTAAAGTGGGACGGAGGGAGTATGTTTCATGGGCATGCTAAAGGAAGAAGAGCATGTTTCTTTACGCTACTATGGAGCATTTAAAGAATGAAATTTTAAGAATGATTGTCACGGCAGCTAGGCGCCAACTGACCGCCTTAATGCCTAGGCATCTAGGCGCCAGCCTAGACCACAAGTCATGCCATATGCAATATATATAATAAAATTATATATAATAAGAAACAATAGATTATTTATCTAGAAAAAATGTTCAATATAAATTTTCACAGAGAAAATCAACATAAAATAGGTAATACTCAGTAAAATAATGTATGTCAGACGTTTACTAGCAAAGATTAAAAGATTTGATAAATGGACTCCAGCTGAACATGAAAAGAAAGAAAGAGTAGCAGAATTATACTATACATAAAACAGTATACAGTAAAAACTACGTAATACGGAGTACATTTAAAAAAAATATGGAGTCCAGCTATCTGCAAAAAAAAGTGAAAACAGTCAGCGGCCTTACAAAACGGGAGGAACAAGAGCAAATGGAGGTGGGGGTGGAGTAGTGGTGGTGTTATACAATAGCAACCTGGGGAATAGCTGAAGTGCCTGTTTGACACCCTGAATTAAAAAAAATGAAAAGCATTGGGTAAATCAATTTCAGCCTAGGTATTAAGTTAAAATCTGTGTTCTGCTTACTTTAGTGATTGGGAAAATAACTGAATAAGGCAGACGAAGCTACCATAGGGAGCCTAAGTTTCCAATGTTGATGCCGTAAAGACAATTTAATCCTGTTTCGTAAAGGTAAATTTTTGCTAAAAGAGTGAAATTGTTGATTTAAAGGTCGGTAACGAAAGTTTAGCTGACATAATTATATGAGTTTATATATCTAAATAATAATTTATTTCATAAATTAAAGAAAATAATAAAGGTGAAAGTGTCATTTCACTCGTTCAAAAAGAATTTTTTTAGCACTTCTCTCTCTATTATGATTCAATTCAGACAACGAATAAGTTAATGTTTGCCTGTTCGGTGGAAATTATGACTTATAAAGCTGGTTTAGCAGAAAACTTCTCCTACCATACGGGGTCTTAACTTATAGATTCCACATATAGATGCTCGTACATATTGCTTCTTGTGTTTCTGCAGGTTGTATTGTCTGCTTTTGATTCTGATGCATCACTCGATGTATTGGACCATCCAGTGACGAATTTCATATATTATGTGGTATGCATGCAGTGGAATTTATACTGTTCCTTAATCAGTTAATTAATATTGAATCACTCTGGTTACCGATCAAGTGATCCTACTCAACTTTTTTTTTGTTTTTACACAGCTAGTGGAGATTCTTCCTTCCGCTCTTGTTCTTTACATACTGCGCAAACTGCCCCCCAAAAGAGCATCTGCACAATATAACCTCATACGTTAGCTGCACTAAGAGTGAATTTGGTTGGAGGATTTGAGAAGGAAGGTTTGATTCTTGTCGTAATAGTTTTTTCTCTTATCTGTCGGTCCTAGACTAGTAAATAAATAACTATTTGCTTTTTGTTAAATCATGTAATTCTATATAAAATTTCATCTTCTCTTTATTGTCAACCATCTAAATGTAAAAATAAACTATTAAAATATAATCACCATTCCCTCTGGCATCCCCCAACCAAACAAGTTTTTATTGTCCTCGGGGGAGCAATGCTTGTTTTCCCAAGTAGACCAGAAAAAAAACCCTGGAGAAAATAGGGGCATGTGCTTTTAGTATTAGCCTAGAACCAGCTTGTGCCTATTGGGTACTTGTAATGTTGGCACAATTGTTTGTACTTGTACATTCTGGACAAGCAAGTATGATGTTACAATGACTAGCTTCTCATTGCATGGTCTATGGGCATCTGATGTGAGATTGAACTATGACTCATCCTGGAGGACCCCTACAAATAACAAATATGAACATGAAGCTCTTGATATTTCACCTTTGCAAAAAGCTTTGATTTTCTGGGATCCTTTTTCGTCCACCATTGGTTGATCAGATTTGGTAAGAATTGAGGGATTGAGCTCTTTTGGGTTATGCTATTTATACATGATTGTTGTCCTTCATTTTATAGTTGTACTGTTGTACACATAATTGATGTACAAGTTTTTCAGGATTCGTCTTTGGTATATGTGCACATACATAACTTTTTTATGTTCGTGTTTGTGTGAATATAAAAAGTGATATTGACTGTTTAAATGGTGTTGGTGTAGAGATTGGTGTAAAAAAAAGTATTTTCCAGCTATTTTACCGTGACTTTGGACGCACCTTTTTTACTTTTAGTCAATGATAAAAACATTTTGTTCCTTTCAAAATTTCCAATCTAAATTTTCATATGCAGGGATAAAATGGTTATCAGTTTCTTTGCCGTGTGCTTGAGTGCAAAGTTGCAGAAAATCAAAACTACCCATGATCCATTTTGTTCTCTGCAATGGCAAAACTTCTCACAATCTCACCCATGTTTTGTGCAACCATATCCTTCACTTTTGTGCAGTAATAGGGCTACGTATTAAACTCTTTCAGATAAAACAAAGAACCGACGATTGGATCCTCTTGTCACACACAAATAGGGATGGACCCGGGCCGGTCCGGTTCCGGGCCGGGCCCGGGTGGGCTTTTTTTCGGGTTACAATATTAGGGGTGGACCGGTTCCGGTTCGGGCCCGGTTCGGGCCTGGGCCCTGCCGGGCCTCGGTTCAGAAAAAGGAGGCCCGGGCCCGAACCGGTGGTGGGCGGTTCCGGTTCCGGTTCCGGGCCAGAACCGGGCCGGGCCGGGCCGGGCCACCCGGAATGTTTTTTTTTTCCTTCTTCTTCTCTTATTTAACCCCCTACCCCTCCCCCTCCACCCCAAACCACCCCAAACCACCTCAAATGGCCCAAAATACCTAATCCAACCCAAAACTAAAAAAAAATTCAAAAAAAAAAAAAAATTAAATTCCGGCCCGAACCGGGCCCGAACCGGCCGGGCCGGTTCACTAAACTGGAGGCCCGGGCCCGGACCGGTATACCACCGGGCCTGGAGGCCCGAACCGGAACCGAACCGGTTGACCGGGCCGGTCCGGGCCCGCACAGTAGCGGGCCGGTCCGGTTCTGGGCCGGTTGGCCCGGCCCGAGTCCATCCCTAGGTTACATGGGCCCGGAACCGGCCCGGGTTGATACCGGGTCCGGGCCTAACCGGGCCGGGCCGGGCCCGGTTCAATGTTTTTTTTTTTTTTTTTTTGACTTTCTTGTTATCTCCCTACCCCCCCCCCCCCTCACCCCCACGTCCCAAACCTCCCTAAAACACCCAGCCCTACCCTAGGAAAAGAAAAAAAATTGAAAAAACCAAAAAAAAAAAATGAACCGGGCCCGGCCCGAACCGCCCGGGCCGGTTCAACAAAAATAGGGCCCGGAACCGGCCCGCCCGACCCGCCAACACGGGCTAAAAGCCCGGAACCGGCCAACCGGGCCCGGTCCGGGCCCGCACAGTAGCGGGCCGGTCCGGTTCCGGGCCGGTTCGGCCCGGCCCAGTCCATCCCTACACACAAAGGAGATCCCAACACGCATTTACAACACGTAATTGAGAGTCGGAGTGACCTTACTATTTGAGCCGCACAAATATGAAGAATTTCTGCTGTCTTACTGCTTGAACACCTCAATGAAGGAACCCTTATATGGCTAAGAACCCTAAATTTGAAAGATTGGAGAGAGGATGAACTTACTTGAGCTTTAGATAGATGGCCGGTACCTTTGGGTCTTTGGCAAAACCCTAAAGTCCGAATTCATTATTCATAGATGGATGTGTAACACAACTTAATAGGATAGTTGTTCGAAGTTTCTCAGCCACTACCACAACTTAACAGGGATAGGGTAAAGAGACATTTAACTTGACCCTATATTTTGGGGATAAGATGCAATCGGGATGACTTGGAAAAAAATTCCAGATTTGACAAACGTACTTGTCCATGTAGGAATGTAGGATTCCATTGGTAAGTAGGGGTTGGGTTTCGGTCATCTAGACCCGTCAGATGGTTTAAAGATTGTAGACGTGTTAATGTGGCAGTAAGTGGGTTTATGTGATGGTTTCAGAATAGTAGAAGGGTCAATTTGATCCTTTTTCCAAAAGCTAATAGTTAATAAAAACCGCATAATAGCTCACACAATTATCTTTTCACCTAGTTAGCATTTTAATGTGAGAAACAAATATCAGTCCAGATTAAAAATCTGATCAAGAATGGGCCCAAACCTGCGGGTTGGCCCGTTTAAACCTATTTCTTGGTGGGTTAGGGTTGTGAAGTTTTTATCCATTTAGTTCGCGGGTTTCGCGGGTCAACCCACGCGGGTTGGGAGTTTAGTTGGTTGGCCCACACGGGTTGCGGGTTGGCCCGCGAGCCAATATACAAACATATAGTTTTGACTTTTATTATCTTCAATATTGTTCTTTTACTACCAAAATTATTATAATTATAATGAAAAAAGTACAACCATTGCAAAATAATATTTATTTGTATAATAAATATTCAAATAAAAAGTTGAAACATATATTTTGTGTGAAGTTCGATACAATATTTATCAATTAGTAGTCATGATTTCCAAATAATCAATCAAAAGGTTTAAGAAGATCTCTACTTTTATACAATGAGTGTTTTTGCTACATATCCTCTTATAGAGTTATAGTTTTGAATTTCTCGTATAACTAGTATTTAATATATTTTTTTAATAAACTTAACAAGTATTTTTTTAATAAATTTAATATTTTTTTTGATTTCTTATATTTTCTTTAATACTACTTAATAATATAAATATATATTCTAGTGTAAATTTTTTTAGAGAATTTTTTGTCACATATTTTTTTACATTGGCCCACGGGTGACGGGCCAACCCGTCAACTCACAGACTAGGTGGGTTGGGGTTGTAGAAATTCTGACCCGTCAATAAACGGGTTGGCCTGACCCAACCCACATAAAGCATAACCGTTACGCCTCGGGTTGGCCCGTTTGACACCTCTAGGTACACCGTACACATGGTTGGAGAAATGCTTGTTAACATATCACATACACGGGAAGGATAGCCTGAAGTGACCACCATTGAACATTAGACACAATTCATATATGAAGATTAATAGGATATTTAAACATGACCTATCTAGATGAGGGTTGGACCGTTTATTTTGATGTTATATATGTTAGCACGTGCATAGATGGCCAGTGTTGTACATTTTTCAATATATTAGTAAACATTTTGATATGATGCTCAATAGTGTACATAAGTTACGGGAAATTCTATTTGCAAACACTCATTTATTAAACACATCACACATTTTCTTAAATTCCCACCCTACCCTTATTATGTGACCAAACACAATTACACAGCCTCGGCAATGGCACAACCACTGGGCGATGCATGATGCAACAAGACTTTACTAATAATGATGATGGCTAGTGGCTACCCTCCTCAATGCTCTTAGTGCATTTGTGATGAAGTGGCAAAAAAAAGGATTAAGTCTATTTGATATGTGGGGCAAGATTTAATTAAAAGGGATTGTCTATCAAGATAATATTCCAATGGAAAGCAAAAACATTTAAATAAGAGAAAAGCTTTATAATGGGTATAGAGGGTGAGACCCAAGGTCCACAAATGGACCTTGTCCTAGACCTTAGTTCATTTTTTCAATTGACATGTCACCTACACTTGCTCTATTTTATTTTGCATTGGAAGTAAGATTTATATTTAAAAATGCAATTGATGATGTGGATCTACAATGGACATCTCCATTGGAGATGCCCTAACTATAGATACACACATGTACAAATGTAAAGTTACAGAGTAATTAGGAATTACTTCCTCCGTCCCGCTATGTGATACGTTTGTAATTTCCGTGTGTTTATTTACGTTTTTAGTTAGTTTTGGTTGTTTAATATTTCGGAAATTACACACTTTCGGTGTAATAGTTTAGTTTGTTAAATTCTTGTAATTTGTTTAGATTAGGTTTATTCTGAGCTTAAACAGGTCCAAGATCAATCAAATGATCAAAGGTGAAGGAAGGTGCAAGAGTAGAAGACAAAAAGAAGAAAAAATTCCTGATTTTAGGATATACTCGATCGAGTATACCTTATACTCGATCGAGTACCAATACTGATTTTCAAGGATCCGATCCGGGAACAAATGAACATGCAAGGAAAGATTTGGTCACGTTCTATTGTCATACCCGATCGAGTACACCGACATACTCGATCGGGTATACATATAAAATCTACTCGAGTATTGATCGAGTATTGACCAAATTCGGGTTTCTACACATACTCCATCGAGTATATGTACATACTCGATCGAGTACTCGGCCTGCACCTCAAAAAGCCTATAAATACACCTCCTTTCCTCCACTTTTAGACACCAATTCATATACACTCTTAAGCTCAGTTTAGAACAGCATTTCTTTATATTTCTTTTAGCATGTTTAGTCTCCAAATGAGGAGCTAAACTTCCATTTCTTGGTATTGCTCTTGAAGCTTGTTGATTATTAAAGTTGTGAGTTATTTTCTTAACTTCTTTCCTTGAATATTAATTCTTTCTTCAAATGCTATTTCTATATCAATGTTGGGGAGTGTTGCTAAGATGACAATTAGTTAACATCTTGACATTAGTTATAGTAATAATCATTTCTTTCTCTATGTTAATATTGGGGAGTGTTACTAAGATGACAATTAGTTAACATCTTGATATTAACTATAGTAGGATTCATCTTATTTAATATTCTTCCTTGAGTATTAATTAATTCCTATTCATATTTCATATTAATATTTTAAACATTACTTAAAGGATCAACTAGTTTTGTTTCATATATTAATTACTACTAGATACGATCAACGAACCAATGGTAATCATTGATGGTTTCACAAGTAAGTAACTTCGGTTTATTAATGCACGGTTGTGGTTAATAGACCTAAGAGGAATTAATTGTGTTGGTTAAACCAAAACCGCTTGTGTTGAGGTTATCGATCTCAGTTGATTTCATCAAGGAGTTAAGCGATTAAATGCTACTATCAAGTCGGTATACGGCGCTTGTTCTATACTTGACTAATAGTAAGGCTTATTAATGAACGGTCGTTGTTAATAACTATCCTCGATGAATTGGATATACTCCTCGATTGAGTATTCGAGAGGAGATAAGTTATAGATATAACAATGATCGTCTAAAATATATCAACAAGTG